AAGTTATTTCAGCACGGGATGTTCCATTGGTTTCCATGTGGCGCTAACCCTATCCACTGCGATTACAGGGTTATATTCTCTACGAAAAATAAGCATATGAGCAAGAAATTTAAAAATGAACGCAACTTTCATTCCAAATACATTTATGAATAGAATTGTCCAACATCATCAGGCTGCTGCCTCTACCAAACTGTCGAATCCGAGTTGCTCACAGGTTCATAAATAAGGCTTATTTTATTTTCGTAAATTTAAACTAGACCATTCAAAATTTTAACAACTTTATTGCTTTGATGCCGGATTCAGAATTTTATGAGAAACATGGTTGATTTATCGTGCACTGTAACTCCGCATATGGAAAATCTCACTGTGATTTAAATGGTAATACTGTATTAGCTTTTCGTATGCCAAAAAATAAGTATACTATATATTTTTATCATCATGGTTTTCACTTTGATGCATTTAGAGACCGCACGATTTTTTTCTTAGCCACCAATGAGATATATTTTTGATTTCAATTCCATTTTTGACGTCTCCTCGCATATTTTCATTTAAACTGAAAAAAAATCACGACAAGTATATTGTCCATCGCCTGAGGTTATGAAAGGTTTAAACGCTAATATTGATGCCAGATGATGAACAAACAGTTCTGCCTGCCAAAAAGTGTCAGTCTCTCATGATGTGGTGACATTTTTGATGAACCCCTACTGGGAGAGGCAGTTGGCGACCCCCGAGGGGGATTGGAAGGGGGATCTTGGCGACAGCCAAGCCAGGGGATCAACCGAGGTCCCGCGTGGACAGCTCAGTTTTTCATGGCCCCGGAAGCGACGCGTGTCGCGCAGCCGTCCGGTCACGTGTGACCGCGAAAATGACATCAAAAATGTGTGTTTCCAAAGCACTTCTTGGGTGCTTCGTGTGATTTTCTTGCAATATGCTGTGACCGTGAATAGTTTGTGACATTTTTGGGGACCATTTTCGATGACTCCCTGAGACACAGAATATTTTCCGGAGTCAACTTAGATTTCATAAGAGGATCATCTGAAGCGTTGCAGAGATAACTAATTTTCTATCTGAATTTCGTCGCTAATACTGTACTAAATTAAACTTCAGATTGGAAATTGTTTCGATTGCTCTTCCGGTAGATTTCGGCTGAATCAAAAAATAAGTTGTAGGCATTAATTTTAGAAATGAAATTATCCACAGATGAATTCAATGCTTTTATGCGTCCGTTATGTAAATAAATCACGTAAAATCAGGATACAGCGGAATTTCGTCCTCCAATTCACAGGTGTTTCTGTGATTTTAGTAGAAAAGTTTTGGTATTACTGTACAACGATTTCCAGGTCAGATTTCTAAACAGCAAGAGCAGCCACTTTGATGCCAAAAATCGCAGTCGCGGAGCCCATTTTTTTTAATTAGATGCCTACTGATTGTTATGAAATCGGAAAATACAGTATTTGTTAGTCATTTCACGTTCTCACAATGATGCTTCAAGAGGGCTCGAAATCATCACCGTTGAACCGAGTAACGCGAACATACGTGGCTATGGCATTTTGTTCAGAAGTTTTATATTGTCGGGAAGACTCGGGACTGGATACAGTTTTACTTGCAGTCCCAATGCTCCTTCACACATGTTTTTAATAAGTGTTATTTTTTTAATATTTTTAGCGATGGGGAATCGGGGATGAGAGTGAGGTGATGGATTTCACCCTCGCGAGTGATACTCGGGAGTCGAGTGACTTCTTCGAAGCGTCACCCACGTTTTTGCAATCCCACTCGACGCCAGCACTGGAAAAAGCCGTTCCCGAACTCGGAGTCCAACCCAGGTTCAATTTCTTCGTTAAAAATTATGCGTGATGTCTACAAAAAAATCGAATTAGCATTCTAAGGAAAATAACGGCTTTAATATCTTATTTAACTATGTTCACAAATGTTTTTTCTCTCCCTAAATGACTGAAGATGTCGACAAAAATTTTTATTTAGGCATGAACTTGTTTTCAAACCCAGTTTTTCGTATTCCCTTCGTGCAAGATACAAAGGCTACTTCGATTTTATGGATTCCATGTATATAGCACATTAAAAAAAAATGTGAATTATGCATAAATCGAGAGTTTATGCAATGAGACCAGTCTTGAATCAGTTTTCGAGGCTTATTTCTCGGAATTTTCAACGTTTTTCAGTAAGCTTGCATAGTTTAAATATTCATCACGATGTCTTTCGTGGCACGATAAAGCAGTTCATATAAAAAAATGGTGCCAAAACTACCAAGTCGTTCAGGGTAGGTTAAACTTCTTTTTTTTTTAAAGTTGTGACGCCAGTGAGTTCTCATGCTCTTCTACAAAAGCAGCGAAAAGTTGGCACTCAAAGCAATGAAGAACTATTGCTTGTTTTTGACAAAAACCTCTTCGTTTTATAATTAGATATAATTTTTTTAAATTCTCAACACTGCTATTCTTTTATAAATGCTACCAGTGTTTTTAAAAAGAGCTGGAGCTCCTTCTGGTTTAAAATCGCTGCCATCCATTACGGAATAATGTTATGACATGAACCTTTGTGTCCAAAATAGCGACGCAGCCTTTCGGAGAATGAAAGCCAACTACCGGGAAAGGAATAGAATGCACATGCTCAACAAGGCTCTGGAACGTCTCCGCCTTGTTTTGCCCACGTTTCCAGAGGACACCAAGTTGACCAAGATCGAGACTCTGCGACTGGCGCACAATTACATTTACGCTTTGACTCACACGCTTGGGGCTTTGCAAGAGCCCGATGAACGACCACCTGGGCTAGAACAGCCTGTCATCAATGTCCTGTCCACATCGCCTCTCACTGTTCAGGTGAAGTAACTGACTTGAATCCAACCGGCCAATTTTTCGCGAACGTTGTTTCCAAATTTTTAGTAATTTTTTTTACTAGCTAAAAGTGTTCCTACTCTTTCTTGGTAAATTGTCTCTTGTCGCGTTTCTCCGTAACTATTGTGATGGCAATGAGTCTTTTTTTGTTTTTTTCTACCAGTTTTACAACGATTGATTTCCACAACGAAGTTTGCATACACGGCTGCAGAATCTAACTGAACGAAAAGTCCCCCTGAGCGAAGTTTTTTGTTATGTAGGACCTATGCCCCCCCCCCCTTCTCCGTTGACCTCAGGTGCAGGGTTCTTATTACCTATGAAACATTTTATAACTCAATTCCGATCACATTTCACATTCATCACGGGAACATCAATTAGTAGTTTTATTGGGGTAATGAAAAAAAACCCCCACCTTTAAAAAAATGTCGGAGCTATCCAAATATATCAACACTGGAAAAATTGCCAGCCTGACCCTCTAATTTAACTTCCTACGCCGAATAACGAAATATATTTCAAAGAAACTCTTAGATATGATGAGTATTAATGCATTTAGTTGTCTCGTCTTGGGCATATAATTTGTTCCTCAATGAATACACATAAAACATTTATTTTAAATAAACAAGTCGTTCTGTGTTTTGCTTGAACAGGTCAAAGCTTCTTGTCTCATAGAAATTCAGCAGTTCAAAACTTCGCAGATTTTAAACCTGTATGTTGCTGTGAAGTGCGAAACAATTTTTTTCATGGTGCTTTCTCCGTTTCGTCTTTCGTAAAAATTTGAAAAACAAATTTGCAAAAATGTCTTGCATTTTTTGGAGATCCATCTCTTCTCAATTCTCCGAAAACATCCGCGAAATATGTACATTTTAATACTTGTGGCCCATTGAACGACCCCGATCAGGTGACATTATAGTTTAGAATTAGAAGAATGTGATTGCCTGAGAGATTTGAATTTTATTTTTTTATTTTTTTTATTGAAAAAAGGTCGGAAACTTAACTGTGCGAATTGGCGACGACGGAAACACGATCATGCGCACGACAGGAGATTCTCCAGAGGCTGCTGATTCGCTATCATCCATGTTCACATCCGTGGTGAAGCAAGAGTCAGACTGCGATTACGACGTGGGACTCGAACCAGAGAGCAAAAGCCTGCCGGCCACGCCAACGCGCCCAATGCACCCAGTGGCGCATTCCAGTCCGGACATGCTGTGGCGCGGGATGCACCATGGTGCCACGCCAACGCCCGAATATCAACACCACCATCATCACCACCACCCCCACCACCAGCGTTCGTTTTGCGCGTATCCACACGACCCTGGCTTGTACGAATATTCTTCCGATGGATCCTTCTGTGCTGATACGAGTTGGAACAGTCAGCCATGAGCAGAAAATAGTCAGGAGACCCGGAGTTACTTGCCAAAATTTCAAGGACATATTTTTCCACCATCATCTATTCTCTATCGTTGCCCTTATGCATATCGAAAAATTCGCCGTTGTTTTATTTGCATTCAGACCTTCGTCGATTCAAAGATCCTGCAGTAAGACTTGAATAACTTTAAAAAAAAAAGAATTTAGCTGAAGCGAACTTCTATCAGAAAATGTTCATCAGAGAAAATAATCATGTTTGCTCGATCATTTCCAGATCGCATTTTTGAATTTTCATCAACGGAGAGTGTTGTACGATCAAATAAGATAATTTATGGTAACGATTGCTCAGAGTTTTAATCGGAATATCTGTTTAAATAAAAAAATTGTACTTTTGATCACATACGAGTGAATTCAACTATTCTCTATTTGAAACGTCGTTATTCATGAAAGAATGATTATTAAGCATTTTAATATTTTAAAAGGCACAGCATGCCTACAGTTGTTATTCCATCGCTTACATTTCTATTCTGATGTGTGGCTGTTTTTTTAATACTGTACTGTACCTTATACCTACCCTTAACGCGATTGTGTTCAACATTTATTTCGTCGAATGTGTTCTTTGATCTAGTTCCCCTTAGTGAATCGCATTTACTCGTTGAGACGAGTGATACCTTCATGAGTTATTGGACCTGTTTAGTTTTGTAGTTGTACGTGCGGAGAAGAAAGGAAAAGACAATTGATTCCCATAAAATGTTCGTTTGTTTTGATGAAATGAATGTAAAAGCCGGATTTATGAAACTCGAAGGCCGAGCGTTCATTCTTCACAAGAAAATTCCGCGTGTTATAACAAATTTACTCGCATACATCGGAACTCGATCGTCATGTTCACACGCTCTTTCAAACAATTCAAACACGTCTTTCAACTCTCCGCTTGATTTTTGGAGAGGATTTATTGTAGCATATTACGACGAAAACAAATTTCAAGGCCCCAATAAGCGTTCTTTCCACACTGACACAGAGGACGAGGTCAAATTTCTGTTTAAACCCAGCTCGTCATGAAGTTACTGGTTTGAGCCTTGCAAGCTTACTCGTCAAGTTCGTGACAGCAAATTTGAAGTTAATATCAATTCGCGAGCCAGGAAAAGAAATTCGTTTCGCTCGAACCCACTGGTCAAATCAACTCGCATCTACTTTGAAAAGGATAGGACACATGATTAGATTTTCCAATGATCACACGTTTTTCAGCGCCCTACGTTTTTTTTTCTTCCGAAAATTGTTCCAGAAATGAAGCAGCGTGAAGCTATGGTTTAATCTCATCTTCCAGAATTAAATGTAGTACAACGCAACCCACAGTGTGCCAATCGCCTCATTGCACGAGAATAAGGCTTAAGACGGAAGAGTTTCATCCAGGATTTAAGGCCCTTCATGAGTTGTCTATTTCGCGAAGCCTTTTGAAAAGTCGATACTTTCAATCCTGGAAAGTTTTCTTTCATAGTGTCCACCCTTCAAGCCAAGCTCTTCTTTTGAAACCTCACAAAACACCAAGAAAAAGGGGTTCATGCATTCACTGGAACACTAAAATATGTGCAGCGACGCGTCGGCAAAAAATAATCACATAGATGGGTGCCCTCATCATCATTCATTCGCTCAGGAAATCATCTCTCATACACGGGTATTGATGTAAACAGGGAAGCGATTGTCCGGTGTTGATCGTAGAATACGGATCCGGTTATTATATACATTTTCTCCTTGTTTTCCGCCTATAAAAGGTCCCCGTCGTCCTTCAGCTCAAAGGTCGGACTGTCCGGGCGTATGTCCACCTGAGGGATTCATGAAGAAATTGAAAATTACATACACATGCGCAAAAGCTCGCGACATACATAATTTTAAAATATTCAAAGCTCCGGCGGAATGCTGAAGACGTTCGAAACATTTACACAAAATTTACCAGTATCATCATACATGTGGCATGAATCATTCTGTATCATTTAAGATGGAAGTTTGCAGCACTTTCTCAGATGAGGCGGTTGTAATCAAACGATATGGTAGAGAAATTGTTCAAGCGTCAGAAAAAATATGTGAGCCTTTTCTGATCAAATACAACCAGAAAAAAATGCCGACTGCTTGAGAAAGAAAGATAGCATACAATAATATCTATGCTTCAAAGTGCAAGCAGCATACAGGTAAGCACATTCAAATTTACATCAAATTAGTCATATTCCAGGCGGTGCTGGGAAAGTTGAGAGTGTATGAAAAAGAGCGGTACGGCGCATCCCAAAAACATTTCGTTTCCACAAATAAAAACAGGAAGAAGGAATATAATTGAGTAATTGTAACTGTCAGTGATTCCCCTATTTATTTTCGTTTTTTTTTCGCATTGAAGCTTCGTTCAGGATATAAAAAACTCAGAAGCGAAACAACTACAGTCAAGCATCGATAAACCACTATACCACTTGCTTGTGGCGTTTTAAAGAGGTTGATAGTTTAAACGGGGTTGATGGTTTCTCAAAAAAGCTAAAGGAAAATAAAAGTTTAACTGTACAATTATATAATAAGAAACAAAATTCTCATCCTTCAGGAAAACTATTAAAATTACCCTGGATGCGTGAATTAAATCCAGCTAATTTTCCCGAGAAGTTAATTATATGCGATTGTGTGTTTAAATTTTTTTTGGAGATCTCTCGCAGAAATTTGATTCTTGTTGGCATGTTTTCGACGAAAAAATTAACTGACACGAGCGCATTTGATTGTTCAATAATTTTGGCGGATGACGTTTTTAACGAGATTTCCAATACTTTATTTAGGGAAGATATGTTTTTTAAAATAAATTGGCGGTTGCGAAGTATGGCGTCTTACATCGGGGCTTGACTGCATTCCTAAACCAGGCTGAAGGCATTTTTGGCCGACGTCTATAGAACCCGTTATGCACACTACAGAACTCGTGTTTACTTCTGCTGTTTTTGGCACGCGCCGTTTTTGGAACTCGCTCAACTTCATACCCGAAAGAAACACGTGCTGACAAAAATCAGTCGAGACATCGGGGTTCAGTTATTAATGGGGCTCACAGGAGTGCATAGCAGGATAAGCATGAGGGACAGAATGCAGCAGGGAAGCACTTCGCCGGCAGCAGGCTAGTGCTTGCGCAATGCTTCCAGCTGGTTCAAGGGGTGCTGTTTCTTGCAGAAGACTGACGGGGCCGTGTCAGGGTGTTCCTGCAGGTACTGGAACGTGCGGGACGGGATGCAGGCGCCGCGGTAGCGGATTTCCGTCGCCTCTGGCTCCGACTCGTCGCGAACCCGCACGAGGGACGCCGTGTGACGATGCAGCGGCTGTTGAGTGCCACGGATCGCCGGCGGTCCGCGGTTCACTGGCACGGACGCCGCGTGCAGCTCGTGCTGCTGCTGTCGGACTACGAACAACACACGTGGCAAATCGCATCAAGCAGCTACAGACTGTTACGAGATCGGGGTGAATCTACCCAGGATACGATCATCCATCTCCTTTCATAAGCTCACCGAAACAGAAGAGAAAAACAAAAGCTACTGTGTGAAATTTCGATCTTGAGCACTAGGAAAAATACGAAAAGTACAACTCCGATTATCACGGATCATCAACAATTTTAGAACATTTTGTACCACTTGATGCCAATTCGAGAATATCGGTGAGAGATGTTGCGAAGGGAAGATAAGTACAATGAAAAGTATGAATGAATTTAACATTTTCAGTCACCAAGTACGTCACAATCCTTAGAGCGATGAAGTGTTTGATATATATATTTTACTTTTTTAGCTCAGAACGATTTTTAATTATATCTTCCTGCGCTTTTCTCTTCGATCGCGCCTTTCGAGGTATTCTTGAATTAAAAAAAGGATGACCAATTTGTGAAATATCTTGAATGCATAACATTATTTCACGGTTAAATTACACATTTTCTGCGTTGAAGGTGGGTTTTGACTTTTGAACCATTTTTCCCCCTAGAATTTTCTCATCGACTTAACTTATATTTGATTTCACAATTCCCGAAAATTTATAACTGAATGGCTTTTCATGGTCAAGTATCAAAGCATTCCAGTATCATGCTCATATATGCATGTTTATCTTGATTCAAAATTATGGATTTCCGAGAAAAAAATCAGCGCAAATCATAGTGAAAAAATGATTCAAGCGCCCATGAAGGCGAACTAAGCGATATTTATCATGGCCTGTAAAATGTTGACTGATAATCGGAGTTTAATCATCCAAAATAAAAATAAAATTATTGCAGACATTTCAGAAATAAAATCTCCGAAAAATGCTAACTTCAGTAGAAGCATACAGCAAAAGCATACGGCAGTATCCTATAGAGGCGTCTATAGAAAAGTGTTTTCAAGAAGTTATTGTCCTTTCAAATTATTTTCCCTTTCACCTCGAATTCCTGCGTGCTTTAAAAATTGAAACTGACATTAATCTAGGAACAAAGTGCTACCATGCAGGGAAAGGAAACCTCGTGGTATAGCGTGTGAGTAACCTCGACGTGTGCAGTTCGAAAAAAAAGCGGCACGTGCAGTGACCCATCACAAGCGCCAATAATCCATGAATCAATTTGCATGCATGCATTTATGCAAAAATATTGAATATGTTCATCAGTTGGCAAGCAAAGAAAACGTGCTGGTTACTGTCGTACCGAGTCTCGGCTCAGTCGCTGTCATCTGCTGCAACATTCGGAAGGACCGCGACGGGGTCTGGCTGGTGTCCGACCGCCAGTGCGTTTGGGGCACTGTCACACTGGACGCTTCTGTCCGTCAAAGCCGACGAAGGAGTTTTTGGGTGTGCATGTGAGAGAAATTGACCCAATTTTCCAAGTTATTTGAAAAAAAAAAAATTCAACGAACCACCTCATGCTCGTTCCGAGTCCAAACCTGTCACTATACTGCACCGCGATATTTTAATTTGGCAACCCAGGAACAATTGAGCGTATCCCAAAACAGCGCGCGCAAATTACACCAGGAAAATATCAACTACTCTGCATGAATGTTTTTGATTGAAAAACGACAAAATATCTTTTTTATTTTTGTAAACTTGTAGAGTGTAAATCGTTAACTGAGATGGGTATAACACTAGTTCAGAAAAGCATTTTTAACTTTTATAGATCAAAAGCCGTCGTTGACAAAAGCTGCCGAACCGAAGAACCTACATTGCCCAACGCAAAAACCTGAGTACTGTATTCAACTGATCAGCACCAGCAGTGCCTTGAGGAGTTTATATTTTCGCAAATGCTTTGCCAAAACGTGATTTTGTGCTTTCGACAATTTTCAGAAGCCGAAATTCCGGAGGCGCTGCTCTGAGACACGCGGAATTGTTCCGTCTAGTATTTCAGCTCGCCAAAAAAGAAGAGGTGAAGGCTCATTAATGTATCTCTCAATATCTCTTTCTTCGATTCTTAGACGACTGATCATCACTGCTTTAATGCCATGACAGGTTTTTCGATGATATGTGACAGGAAAAACTCGGACACGCGCGGGAAGACCGAAGAAAGGCAAGAATATAGCAAGGCCGTCTCCTCACCTTGATTCCTCTGCCAAGCACTAGGAGGAACTGAAAATCGAAGATCCACAGCCGGGTTATACCGTATGCTCATTTCTTGGTGGTGAATTAGTAAACTTTCCTTTCGGCGTTCGCTGGGTCTCGGCCTTTTTCCGTTAGGTCAAAGTGAGTGGCAGTAGCGAGCAGTACAGAACGTCGTAGGCCTTTCGGCGAGACGGGATGTACGCGCCGCGGTACCGCGGATCCGTTTCATCGTGTAAGTAGTTCTCGTCATTCACTGTAAAAATGTATAGAATGCGTCAATAGAACTGGCAAAAATGAGGGCTTTTCCAAAGTATCAGGCAACTTGGTAGGCAAGGATAGTACAGGTGAACCTCAATATGTGAAACATCCCCTAGTTGAATTCCTCCCTAATTCAATTTTTTTCATGTCCCTGTCTGAACACCCTTAGAATCAATACGTTAACCCTTGGACGGCAAAGGGTTCGTTTCCATTGCGCAGCGAAGTTCGGATTTTCTTGGGTGGTTGCGGGTTTCATTTTTCTTGAAGGCCACAAAAGCCAAGCCAGGTCGCCTAGGGCAAAGGCAGTCTTTTTCCAACAAAAAGGTGCTGCTAATATTTCCCAAGTTGGACATTTTCCGCTAATTTTTTTCTGCCTCTTAATAAGAATCCTCCATCTGGCACCCAAAATGAAAGGGTTACAAATCTGAGAAGAATGCAACTAATCCATAGAGATGTTAAAAAAGGCTCAGCTTCGGTGGTACATTTTTTTATTTTTGGGCAAAATTTTTCTGTGGATTAAAAAAAAACATTTAGATTTTACTGGACTTTGCCCTGGGTGAATTCTCACTCTTTTTTTTAAACTCTGTCCTCACAACACAAAATTTTGCGGAAGAAGTCCAACTTTGCCGCCCAAGTAAAAACCTCCCTAACTCTTAGTATTTTTCTCTGAAACCTCTGTAAGTCAAATTTTCTGAGGCCTTCTGGTAATTATTTTCTTAAAATATTGAAGAGAAAATGATTAAAACAAATAATCTGATGCATCTTGACGGGAAGTGAAAGACAAATATAGCAAATGAACCCCTGCCTCCAAGTTCAGCAAGGTGTAAACTCATTCATGAGCAAGTTTAGGCCCAGAATATCCTCATTTATGATTTCCCACATTTTTTTCACATCTCCTCACAACAAAAGGATTTGTTTCCTCAACTGGAAATCTCCAAAAATCAAAACCTCCTTAAGTCAAAACCTCCACAAGTCAAATTTTTCTCCTGGTCCCCAGAAATTCGACTTCACCAACAGAGGTTCAACTGTATCAAAAGTTCTTGGCCTGATGAAAAAGCCCGAATACTCGAATACTGCACTGTACCATGAACATCAAAATTACTTCACAGGCGAATCTCTCCCAAGTCGAACTTCAAGGGAACAGCAGAAAAATTCGAGCTAGGGAGGTTTACAAGTTACGGAAACAAACATTTTTTCGGTGTGGGAAAGATAGAAGAATCGCAGGGAATTCTAAATGGTGATATTCCAGGCTTTGAATTGCTTCTTGAATGCGTTGACTGGCTGCTGAACTTGGACAGGAAAGTGTTTATTCGCCCAATTAGTATTTTGCTTACTTTCAAAACGCATCGTTACTTTTTAATATATTTTCTTTTTCCTGTGTCAAGAAAGTAATACCCCAAAAGTCCAAAAAGCGTTGAATAATCTGAAATCATTCTCAACATTTTTTTTGAAAAAAAAACATTCTTTACGTAATTGCTCAAAAACCGGAAAAATATGAAGTAAATTTGCTGCTTTTCCAGTTTTAACGCTGGAATTTTCCATTTGCATCCACGTTGCCACTGCAAAACTCACTTTGGAACCTTTACATTGGCTTTGAAAATTAGATGCCGCATCAGATGCATTTAAAATCTGTCGAGAATGACGGGTTGGTATTTTTTATTTCAGATCCGTATAATTTTTTAGGTATCTTCATGGATACACAATTTTCAAAGAATAGGTAAATGAAAAAGTCAACCTTTTTCCCTGACGTGGTTCATCAAACGACGATCGTCTTCCGAAAGATCCATTTTCCGTTGCCCAGAAGGTGCCATCGTCATCCCATAAGCTCCACCTTCAATGAATGAATCGTTTTTTGCATGTAGACTTTCCTAGATTGTCGATGAATGCTTCAAACCGCGTATGCGCATACAGTGTTCCTTTCTTTCCAACTTTTTGGTTTAGATTTTACTTCATCAATTCCGGTAAATGAAGCAATGCTCGATACGCGGCAAAGCTGGAGGAACTTCAAGGAAAATATTCAAAATCTATTCGACAATTTAAAGAAGGAAGGAAACAATGGAGGAAGAAGTGCTCAAAAAACTCCTTTAACGGTTTCACCAGTGCACGGTATTTATTTTTCT